AGCCAATAAGCTCTTTCTGAAGCAGGAAACATTGCAGAACAGGTGAAAGAAGATTGAAAATTCCAACATTTGTTCATTTTCTACTTACTCAGAAAAAAGTACCCACAAAATTAAATTTTCTCTGTTTTTTCAATTGGTTGTTGTTGATTTAAGCTAACAATGCAGACAATAGCTCGAATTTGCATTGTTGTATTGAGAATGGACATAGTTTCCTTGTAAATTTTCTCTGTTTTTGTATCTGGGTATTGCTAATTCCAGAAGTTTTTAAGCTTGATGTGTAATTATGTAGTGGGATAATTTTGTTGATGTGTAATTATTAATAGAAGAATATTTTATTATGGAGAAATTGTTATTTTTATATAGGAATTTTTATGTTATTATAGAGAAATTTTAATATTTTTAATAATTTTATCGCAGGATGTTTTTTTCTTTTTTGTGACGGCACTACACCGTCGCCAAAAACAGAAAATTTTAATATTTTTATTGATTTTGTTACAGGTTTTACTTTTTGCGACGACACTAAACTGTCGCAAAAAATAGAAATTTTATTATTTTTTTAATACTTTTTGCGACGGTTCTTGCCGTTGCAAAAAAAAAGACTATTAGCGACGGTATTTTTTGCCATCTCAAATGACATTTTTAGCGACGGTAAAATAGTGCCATCGCAAAAAGTAAAGAAATTTCAAACATTATTAGCGACTGCAAAGTGCCGTTGCAAAACATTAGCGACGGCACTGTGCCGTCGCAAAAACTCTTTTGCAACGCCCCCAGTTGCGACCCCCCTCTTGCCGTTGCAAAAAGTCATTTGCCGTCGCAAAAATTTTTTTGCAACGGCATTAGGAGTATTAGCGACGATATTTTACCGTCGCAAAAAGTCAAAATTTTAGTAGTGATTGTTTTTAAAGTACAAATTTTCTTGTAGTTTTATTTATTTATTTATTTTCTTTCGCTTGTTTTGTAATTTTAGAAACATTCCAATTTTTTATTTTTTTTATTTAGATGGGGGAAAAAATCCCAATAAATGTAATTATCTTGTCATCTTTTTATATTTTTATAATTTTCTAAAAAAATAGAAGGCTTTTCCTATAGCAAAAATAAAAATAAAAAGCTTTAAATTTTTTCGAGACAAAACCTCATGCAAGTTACAGTAAAGACAAATCTTTTCTTCAAACATGCAACTTTTTTATGGCATTGCCAATGGGTCCCATGACAAAATTTTATAGGAGAAATATCACATAAATGGTATGTACCAAAAAAAAATAATAATTATAAATTAGTGATATATTTTATAAATATTAATAATTAAAATCACAATTTTTTTTTATGAATTTATAATTATTTTTTGAGACGTGGATTGAATTATAATTTCTCTAATTTAAGTTTGAGTAGATGATTGAAATTAAAAAAAAAAAGAGTAAATTATAGTCATTTCTCTTGAGGTTCTTGACAATTACACCGGATTGCTTTTATTTTTTTGAAATTACATTGACCTCTCCTGTGACTAACGACGTTAATGAGAGGGTTAGTTTCGTAATTTTAATATTAGAGATATTTTTGTTGATAACCATTAAATGTGCGATTATCATTTTAGTTATACCTTATATGGTTGTTTATTTATGACTCACTTTTTCTTTCTTTTTTTTTATTACTTATAATTGAAAAAAAATTAGTTATGACATTTGTGGTAATCAACACTACAACTTATTTATTTCTATTTTTGTGGTAAATGAAGACTATATAGATAAATAAAGGATTGAGTTTCTCTTGTACTGAGATTAAAGTGAAATAATTTGAGGAATCCGTGGAGCCCATCTTATGTCCCGTTTTGATAATCCGAACCGTTCATTTTTTAAGACTCGTTAAATAGAATATTCACACAAAAAATTAAAATGATTAGACATAGTAGCTACATGTTTGAATCAAATTTATATTACAAAAAATGGATAGTTATTCTTAAAATTATATTTGTTGTCTATTTTTTTAAAACATATATGATTCAAATATATAACTACCGATATCCAATCATCTTATTTTTTGTATGAATATTCTACTCAATAAGTCCTAATAAGTGAACAATTCGAATTATCAAATTCGATTCCAAAATGGTCTTATCAAGTCCAAATACTCTCTCAAATTGAGATGATAACTTAAGATAAGCCAAACTCATAAATAAACTTGTACATAGATCTAGGGTGTAACATCCCCATTGCATAATAATTCATTACTGTCCAAGAAATATAGGTGGTTGGAGGGGAGGAGAAAACATGAAAATCACTATCCACCATGAGCATTCCATAGTTTGCTAGAGCATCCACACTTTTATTTGCTTTCCTAAAGATGTGTTTAATAGTTGGTGAACCGAGGCTGTCCAAGAGGAAACACCACAAACGTTATAACTTATATATGATACAAATGAAATAATGTGTATTCTAGAGTAACACATTATTGGGAGTGTAACTTGAATGGGTTCAACCCGAGCCTAGCTTGAATTTTTTTTAGTGTTAGGACAATATATTTTTGAATTTAGTACAGGTTTGGACAAAATTTTGGAAGTCCGTATTAAATTTGGATGAGTTTGGGCAAAGATATTAAACACCCGAGTAACCTGAAACCCAAATTATATATATATATATATATAAATATATAAAAATATTAAATATGCATATAAATTCTTAGTAATTACATGATATTAAGGTAATTTAAAGTATTAAATTATATTGAATATATATTATATATACAAGTAAGACAATCTTATATTTTTTATTCTCACTCATAAATTGTAAAGACTATCATAGCAACATCTCTCTTACATTAAATAAATTATTTGTTTTGATGTTATTAATAATTTTCTAAAAATATATACATAAATAGAGTCTAATTTTAATAAATTAATAATTCAACTTTAAAAAAAAAAACAAACTAAAATTCATGTACAATTTGGATAACTCGGACAACTTAGGTTTAACTCGGATTGGACTTGGACAAACAAACTTGGGTTACAATTTGGGCTTGGGCGAACCTGGGTAAGTCTCAGCACAACTTGGGCTAAGCTTGGATAAACTTTCAACCCGACCGAACTCACCTGAGTTTTTTTACAATTTACTCTTAAAGCTAATTTTTGTTAAAAAATAAATAGAAAATGACACGTTGACAATTACATGACATAAAATATTTTATTATATATACCTATAACATAAACTTAAATTTTAATATAATATATTTTTTTATATAATGTGATAGCTATTGTGGCATTTTTTGTCTAATTTTGAACAAAAGTTAACTTCAAGAGTAAAATGAAAAAATTCGAAACATAAATGGCCGAAGTATGAAAAAATAAATTTTAAGGGCCAAAGTGGGGAAGCGGTCAAACATAAAAAGGGCAAACTGTAATTTATCACATTTTTCCTTTTCCAAATCTCTCATCAAATCCATAAACCAAATACATGCCAGTAATAATTTCACAAAAAGATAAAAATGTAATAAAAAATATAAAAATAAAAGGTATAATAAGCTAAAAATATTATGTACGTAGAATTTCTCAAGTTATAAAGATAATTACAAACTCATCAAAGTAAGTTACAAATCCATCAAAGTAAGTGATTTATGCAATAGATTGCATAAAGGGCCAATTACTCAAAAGTGAAACAGAAAAAAGAAAACTATACAAACATGGAGGGGTGCAACTTAGAGTCGCATCTCCACAAAGTTTGAGTTGTACCTACGTAATTTTTTTTTTTTTGTTTTACTGTTAAGTAATTCCCGCTTGTATAAATAAGTGTTATAGTGTTATTAAGGGAGCTTTTTTAATAAATCTCCTTTGTAAGAGTTTTATTTCAATTAATCCATATTCTTTTTAACTATTCCATTAGATCCTATTTGAGGTAAGAAGACCTAAACACCCTCAATCTCTTGTGCTCCTATCAATGTTAATATTTAATGTTAATTGTCATTATATTTTGGTAGTTCCTATACATCAGGATATTGACTGTTATTATATTCACATTAATTTGAAATGAATTTTTGTCATTGTGTTGTCAATTACATGATGTGAATATTCATACTAAAACATATGAATATGAACGTTCATATCACTACATTAGATGAGAGACACATGTTGTGAACGTTCACATCACTACATGCTGTGAATAAGAATCTGTTGTCAATTAAAAATATAATGAACGTTATTTTTAATGTGTTGTCAATTAAAAATAAGAATATTCACATGTTGTGAACGTTCGCATCACTACATTATTAGATGAGAGAGAATTTTTCGAAAAGGTGTTGTAAACGTTCACATCAGATGATAGAGAATGTTCACATTATTTTTAATGTGTTGTCAATTAAAAATATATTCACACCAGATGAGAGAAAATGTTCATATTAGTTTTTAATGTGTTGTGAATTGAAAATATATTCACATTATATAATAATATAAATAATAACATCAATGTTATTTAATTTGTGTATGAAATTTTCGATACCTTGGTCTTTTCCCTTCTCTTTCTTCCCCAACATTAAATATCAATATTAAATATAAAAATATTAAAGTTTAAGAAAATAGTGTAAATCAAGAAAAAAAGACTTTATAGAATAAAAATATAAATACATAAGACTAAGTAAGTTAAAAAATTCATTCATGGACTTATTGAGTTAGAATACTTTTAAATGAGATTTATCAATAAAAATTCATTTTATAAATTTACAATTATTTTTTTCACTTCCTAATTTTTTTATATTTTATATTTTTCCATCAAAGAAAGGTTAAATTAACCCAAGCTATTTTCGGCTAGTTTCAAGGTGATTATAATTTATTTTAATTTTAAAATTTATGTGATAGTATCTAGTGCATATTCTATACATAGTTTATTAATCAAAAATAATTTAAATAAATTTTAAAAAATTAATTATTTGAAAACTAAAAGAGGTGTGTTATAGTTTAATTTTTAATTTTTTGATTATCAATTTTCAACTTAAAAAAAGTAAAATAAAAAAGTTCACCAAACAGCGCCTTCGTCGGTCGTTGGGAGGTGTGTTATCCTCACTTGACAGTTTAGAGAGCAGAGAGAAGCTTTCGAGCAGAGAGAAGGTTTTTGAAGTACACAAATGGCCTGTGCTTCTTCTTCAATGAGTACAGTTGTCTTCAACCTCCCTCGAACTCGGCGGTACTCTCCGATTCAGCCCACCCGAGTCTGGCCTTCCCGGTTCAGATGCTCTGCTGGGCAGACCGGGTTCTTCACCAAACTCGGTCGTTTGATCAAAGAGAAGGCCAAGAGCGACGTCGATAAACTCTTCTCCGGATTCTCCAAGACCCGCGACAACCTCGCGGTCATCGACGAGCTCCTCCTCTACTGGAATCTCTCCGACACGGACCGCGTCCTCGACGAATTAGAAGAGGTCCCTCTCTCTCTCTCTCCTCACTCTCTCTCATAGGTTAATTTCACTTTTGTCCAATTTTTTCTATCCATCATCTATTTACATTAGTCTTTTGAGTTTCTAGTTGTCTTTTTATTTTTTATTTTTTTAATTTCATCCATAAGTTATCAATTTAATCTATTTTAGTGTTTAGAATTTTAATTTCAGCTCAATGTATGTATAATTTAGTCCAATTCGAAAAGGTTATCCAAATTAGTAAAATTAAGCCTAGGCAAAGATATATAGAAATTTAAGCTTGATCTAGAATAATTTTTTTTCTTAACTAGGTAATGCCTTTTATTTTATTAATTATATTTTATTTTTGTAATCCTTTCGACCATTAACTTGATTTGAATTAAATATTTTAATTTAGGAACTAATGGACTTTAATTTATGTACTCAATTTCTAGTTTAGGGACTAAGTAGATAATTTGACAATAATTCAGAGGCAGAAAATGAAATTAACCCTGTTAGGTTTTTATTCTTGGCAACCCCGTTTGAAAAAACTCCTTTAACTTGTATTTGTTTTCGCACTTTTTTATTTCAGTGAGGCTATGAGTTTATTAGATGCGAATCCAACCCGAATTGTGCCTTGCAGAGAAGTTTGTGATGTTAATGCTTTCAAGATTGCCACTTCGTTGATTATGACAGGAGTTTAGCTGCCTGGTCAGCTCGCGGCCGAAGCAAAATGCAAAAATGCATTCAAAGTTGCCTGTCCGCTTGAGCGTGGGATGGGGATCGAAATCAGAAACTAAATAGATGAAATTGATAGTTTAGTGATGAAATAGAAAAAATGACAATAGTTTAGTGGATAAAATGAAATTAACCATGTATATACAAATATATTCATGAATGGATGTTTGCATATATGAATATTTTGATATATATTGTCAGCAATTTAGCAGCTACATGGAAGTATTTGCTGAATAAACAAGTGGAGTTTGAGATTGAAGTTCATGTTAGTTGTTAATGTGCTGTGTGAATTAGGGATGGCAATTAAACCCGAATCCAATGGAGACCCACCTCGCCTTGCTATCATTAGAGCAGAGTTCTCCAAAATTTTCCCCCACGGGGCGGATATAATATTGGTCGGTTAATCCCCAATTTTTTCAGGGCTGGGTTGGTGAATACCCACCGGTGAATTACCCGTCCCCTTGTCTCCAAGTCAAGGTCAAGCAAAAAAATCGAAGAAACAGTTTTCGAAATCTTAAAAGATGCGGACTTGGAAGAAACGACAGAGCTCAAGGTCCGAACCATGGCCGCCGAGAGGCTCAGCATCGACCTCTGCCACCTCGACCACAAGTGGTTCGTCAGGCGAGTCGAAGGTAATAGGTTGGTTCAGAGAGCGAAGATCAACCAATTGATGATACGGAATAAAAGCACCTTGATTCTGGTTTGCATATGCCATACACACCACTTGGATCAATTCACAGGAAATCAAGCATCTAAAGAAATCACAAACCTAAAGTAGACAACTTTAATAGGGTTTTGAGTCAGGAAAAGAAAAAAAAAAGAAGCTACTATTACAGATTACAGACATATATATATATGTGCATGTGTGTATGTATATATAGAGAGTGAAAGTAGCTTTGGACTGAGGACTAAGGAATTGGAACTTGGAAGAGGTAAGTGATGGTGGTGAGGGTCGAGTCATTTGCAAGGTGAGAGTTGAAACCATAATTTATGCTTTGTTTGGTTGTTTAGAAATTGCGAGAAAAGAAGGGAAAATTATAGTAGTTTGTTCCTTTACGTTTGCTTTTGTTTTTTTTTGTTGTGTGAGCAAATGAAAAGCTTAGGTACTTGCACTTTAGTTGGGTTCCTATGTTTGATTGCTGAGAATTTGCTAGAAAAGAAGAGAAATTTTTAGTAGCCTTCAACTGGGTTTTTTTTTTTTTTTTTTTATTTATTATTTTTAGACTGTGTTTGGTTCATGAATTTGAGAAGAAATTTGAAGAAAAAAAGGTGTATAAAATCTATCTAAATCTATCCTCAAATCTATAAACCAAACACAATCTTAATCAATTTGTCTCTTCCACTCACTTTTTTCAATTCTTAATTTTTGCTGTTGATTTGTTTATATTATGAAGATATACCTAAAGCAAAGCAAATGGGGCGGGGAAAACCGATCCCCTTGAGGGGCGGGGGTGGTAGTAAGAAATTGGTCTCTGTTGGGGAGTGGGGATGGGGGATGGGAAAAAAATAAAAATTGGAGATTGGGGAAGGGGAGGGTAATACTTACTCTACCCACCCCATTGCCATCCCTAGTGTGAATTTTGAAGAAAATGCAGAAAATAGTATATAATTATGATTTGAAAATGTGGAAGTATTTATTTACTATATAAACAAGTGGAATTTGAAATTTAAGTTCATGCTAGTTGTTTGATTTTTTAAGAAGTTGTGGAAAATTTTATAACTACGATTTGGAGGTTATCGTTTTATTACTATTATTTATTTATTTTAGGCTTTGCTGGTTGCTGATTTTGGGCCAAAGATTACTATTAAGATTGTGGAGAGCTTGCGGGATGATATATATGCTGGGAACCTCAAATCGGGAAGCGAGATAAAGGTAATCATTTTGAATTTTAAATTTACACAAACCTGCCCTGCATTTGGTTGCTTAGGAACTTAAGGAAATAAAAGAAAGGAAAAGAAATTTTCCTTGCCTATTTTACTTAATGTGGGTTTGTTGGAGTGGTTTTTCTTATTGGGTTCTAAATGTTGGTGTAGATTTAAATGTCATTGTAAAATTTTCTAACCAACCAAACAGACCAGCATTGGTTAATTTGATTTTTAATGTGGGTTTTTATTGTTGTAGGATGCCTTGAAGAAGTGTGTGTTGGATTTGGTAACTAAGAAAGGCAATAAAACAGAGCTTCAACTTGGATTCAGGTTTGGGATATTTTTAGGTTTCAATTTTTAAATTGATTGTTGTGCTGATAATTGGGCTGGATCTAATTTAAAGTCTTTGTTGTTTTGTTTTTGTTATACTACCAGGAAACCAGCTGTGATAATAATTGTAGGTGTCAATGGAGGTGGAAAAACGACATCTCTTGGTAAGACATAGAAGTAGAACTGAGGTGGTAATGAATCCTAAAAAATGTCAGCTGATTTTCTTACTATCAATATATAGTTTTGCGGGGAATAATAAAAAAAAAAAGAAAGAATTTGTTGTGTTCTCTAGGAAATCTTTCTCCAGTGACACTTATTATGATGACAGATGGATATATGAATCTGTTGTTTTCTCTTCAAATATTGAAGATACAAGAAATAAAGTAACTGATGAACTTCTTGATTACAGGAAAGCTGGCACACAGATTGAAGAAGGAAGGGGCTAAGGTGAGATACTGTTATCTTGATTTTCCTTTTGCAATAGTATTCAGCTGAATGATTTACCTAGACTTGATAAATAACACCAGAATGTTATCTACTCTCAATTTCTTCAATTGGACTTGACATGTCATATGTAACTTCACAAGGCTTGAAGTTAACTTAGGGACTGTTCTCTACTATGATACATATGGTCCAGATTAGTACAGCCTAGTTTGCAGACCCTATTTTTTGTTTTCCCGCTGAAGAACTGGGTTGATATACATATTCATCAGGCGTGGTGGTCAGACTGGGTGATGGGAAACTAGGTCCTATGGTTCATCTGTGTGGCAGATCAGATTTAGTTCTGGTGAAATAGCCTTATGAATAACCTCCATTCTAGCTATAAACCGGGAAATAGCAAAAGCGGAGGTAGCTATGAGTTTCTATTCTGCAGAAGCATGATCAAGTGGTACGTGTTAAATGGAATCTGCCGAAGATGAATTGGGTGAAACACTGAAAGTTAATGTGGATGGGGCTGTGGGTGAGGCTTCTTGCTTTGGTTTTGTTGGGGGTTTGATAAGGGACTGCTCAGGGTGATGGCTCTTGGGATTTACTTGGGGGAAGTTTCAGTCGTGACGGCTGAGCTCTGGGCTATTCATCAAGGTCTGAGTTTAGCTTGGTCCAAAGGATTTCGGCTTCTTGTTACTGAACTAGGCATCCGGATTATAATCAGTTTGGAGATCAGATCTCTTCTAAATAGGGAGTCGAGCTGTCCGGTTAATCACATATGTAGGGAAGCCAATGGATGTGAGGATAGATTGGCCTGCGAGGCTTTGAATGCTCCAAAAGATTTTGTAGTGTTCGGCAACCCTCCATTGGTAGTTAGGCCATAATTGGTCTGGGATACCTCGATCAGGGAACTCCCAGGTTAGTAAAGTCAACTTACCTGGAAAAACAGACGATTGGTTTTGGACTGGAATAGTTGAAGATAGATGAAAGAATGTCATATGGTACTATGTTGGAGCATCCATGAATGACAATGACTTAGGCGGTTCAAATCCATTTTATTTTGGATTGATGCCAAACCAAAAGTGAACTCAACCCAAACATACTAGCACCAGTTTCATGCTTGGGCTGTGTACGATGCATGTAGTTTGTGACTGATGCTGGAGGAAGTTGAAGCAGATTTGGTAGGACAGTTGATTAACATTAACAAAAATGATTGTGTCATATTATCTATTCAAGTGAGGACATGCTTTCATCTGCCCAAATTTTATTTCCTAAGTGCTTCTATTGGTTGAAATCTGTGTTTTAATTTCTTAAAGTATCTATTGTTGAAATTAGTTACTATTATTTGCGCGCGAGGGGGTGGTGTTTTTTTGTTTGTTTGTCAATGAGGTCAGAAATAACCATGTCATATGTGCCACCCTTCTTGTCTGCTATCATGAAATTAAATGAGTATGGGTTAAGCATAAAGCATCAGAATTCTGCGTTGAGGCATTGAAAATAGTCTCTTAATCGTGCTGTGCTCTCTTCATTCCTGTGGTGTTTCTTAATCGTTTATCAAGGGGAGGCCAGCGGAACATGGTAAAAGGAAATGCAAGGGTTCTAACATGTGATACCTTATAATATAGGAGACTGGCACTAGTATTGTCAATATCTACAACACCTACTATTCATCTTATAATTAAAAGGATTTTGTTTAGCTTCTTGATATTCAGAGTTCAGAAAAGACCTTGTTTGTCCTCACATCCTTATGCTCACAAGAGAAGAAGTTTTGGCACAAGCAGATGTCTCATCTTTGTTGCTTTATGGTTTGAAATTGTCAGGTATTAATGGCAGCAGGTGATACATTTAGAGCAGCTGCTAGTGATCAACTGGAGATTTGGGCTGAGAGGACGGGGTGTGAGATTGTTGTCGCTGAAAAAGAGAAGGCCAAAGCATCATCAGGTTGACAACTAAACTAGCATGCTTGATGAATTTAGTTTGGCGTCTCCTTTCTGTAATCAGATTGTCCCTGAACATATGATTGACATGGTACTAATGCTAAGATATGATCTTGAAGTTCTTTCTGAATAGTTCTTTCACAGGCTGTTAAAAGAGGGAAAGAAGGTGGCTTTGATGTTGTTTTGTGCGACACATCTGGACGTGAGTATAGAGGACTCTAATGGTAACTAGTATTGCTTATATTTAGTTTCAAGGTGGTAATTCAGTAACACCTTTTTTTTCTTTTTTTTTCTTTTTCTTTAGGTCTGCACACTAATTACAGCCTGATGGAAGAATTAATTGCATGCAAGAAAGCTGTCAGTAAAGTTGTTCCTGGCACACCCAATGTAAGCTCTAGTTTTTGCACCTTTCTCTTGAATTTTAATATATTTTTTTTTGATGACCGGGTGTCCGGGTTAGCTTACGCGCACCTTGACTAATCTCAGGACTCATGCAACGCTCCCCCTCCACGTGGATCGGGCAAATCTCGGGCAGAGCCCGCGGGCGTGGCCCCAAGCACCCCCTCTTGAATGTTTAATACTAGGGACATGTTCTATGTTTTCATTCTCAAGCTTGGCTCGTTAAATATTAATCAAGCTGGAACTCAATTTGAAGGTCGAATCAGAACCAAAAAATTAGTAATTTTGTATTGCAAAAGAGGCTTGAGCTTGAATACAGGCTTGAGCTCGGCTTGTATATTAGCCTAGCTTGAATTTAGGCTTGAGCTTGGCTTGAATACACAATCAAACAATCTTGAACGAAATGCAAATGAGCCGAGCTTGAATTGTTCGTGAACAACTCAATTTGTTTTCAGCCCTAAATTAATGCTGGTAGGTTTTTGTTTCAAGGAGGCCATCCACAAGTGCCATTTGAGAATATATATATATATATATTGAAAAATGTCATATTTTGAAGTATGGGAAAGTGGCACATATCTTATGAAATTATTTTTCCCGTAGATCCAAGCAGTCGTAACTGCCATTTTAGTGGGGAGGGGGGAATTATCTCGCATATTATCTTCTTGGATACAAATTAGAGATCAATTTCTAACTACGGGTACACAAAAGTGGTTTGACACTAAGTGGAATCAGCTTGTTTATTTTTTGGGGGGCACTAGGTAAGATGTTAATAGGTTAGTATGTTAGGTTAGCACAACCAGGTGTTCCATACTTGTCCATAACCCTGAACTCCAAACGTTCCTCAAAATCTAGAGGTACAACCACTTGAGCCACACTCAAGTTCTAGAATGAGCTTGTACACCGTTAGGGAAGAAATTTTGAAATTTTAACAACCATGTGATTGTTGTGGAAGGAAGTGCTTGAAGTGGCCGGAGTTGGGTCATATGGGAAGATGATACACACTTAACTGACAAGGGATCACTGGAGGTGGAAGAGGACAGAGCTAAGACAGCCTTAGCATTCATCTCCTCCATAACTGAGAGAGAGGAAAGGGGGGGGGGGAATGCTTTTGAGCTTGCAAAGGAGATGGGGTTGGCTTGTCAATCTACTGCAAGGGGAAACCTGCCTTTTGTAGGGGGCGAACCATAGGGGTTAGCAGCCATGGGCAGTTGGAGGTTGTATCATGGGACTACAATGATTAGGTATGCTAAGCCTTGGGTGCCAATCAGACTGTTGTAGAGGTAGTTATAAATAATAACACGTTCTTAAGATGATTGCTCAATTGCCGTGTCAGGGAGTGCCGTGAGCAATCTGGTTTGTGCCTTAGTATTCTTTGGATAAGCAAGGATACCGTGCATGCCTGCTCTGACCATTTTGGCTCGACCCAAAGGGGAGCACACAAAGATATGTTATTGGTCCATGTGTTGCCTCGCGAGGCTGACATGTTGGCACAAGCTAACCAACATGGAGATGATATGGTGATGCCATGTAATGGAGGTGGACATAAGTACCTACAATTGTTAATCATAGACACTGCTTTGAATAAATTAAATTTATAGTAGTGCCATTTTTTTTTTTTTGGAAAAGCTACAATGTTCACCATGATCAATAAGATTTCTTGTTGGCTTCTTTGAAAATGACATTATCAATCTTGGCAAGTTTGTAGCTGATTATAATTTTTCTTTGTTACTGCTTGTTGGGAGTACTTCACTAGAATTTACACTTTGGAGCTAATAATTTTATGTTTTGTAGCAACCTTTGGGTTTGTCTTGTGTTGACATTGTCATTGATAGTTTATCTCCTTTCCTCTTCTTGATGCTTGCAATTAGCTTTTTGTCACTTAAAAGGCATTCTAAATTTAATTGTTGCATTGACCTTTCTTTTGAATGAGTTATGTTAGAATAGGAAGTAAGTTAGAATAGGAAATACGTGATTGTGTGATTGTGTTTCCTTATATTATGCCTTATGGCACTCCTGTAATTTCTCAATATTATCAATATAAAAGGGAATGAATTCATTCCCTAACTCTTTCTTTTCTCTAAACTTACATGGTATTAGAGCCTCATTAGAAGGTACCTAAAGTCAATCACAACCTCCTTCTTTCCCACCGTAGGACTACCCAGGCCACCCAAACCCTTGCCTAGGACAGTCGTTAGCCCTCTCTTGTTTGTAGAGAGCCATCGTGGTCTCCTGGTGGGTCGCCTAGGCCCTTTGGTGGTTGTCGCTTGCTCCTGGGTGTTCGACTAGGGCCATCGTGGTCTCCTGGTTAGTCAACTAGGCTCCTAGGTGACTACCGCTTGCTCCTGGGGGTTTGACTAGGGCCATCGAGGCCTCCCCATTGGTCGCCTAGGGCCTTGGGTCCTCTCTGGGTGGTCGGCTAGCCTCACGAATGGCCCTGGTCTGACCTTGGTCGTATTTGGTAGTTTCTGTTTTTTTTCTTGTTTAGTCTGTTTACATTTTTTAAAATAAAAAAAAAAAAAATGAAGAAAAAAAAAAGGCAAATCATATTCTATACATATCACTATCTACCACCAACACCACTATCATATTCTATACATATCACTATCTACCACCAACACCACTATCATATTCTATACATATCACTATCTACCACCAACACCACTATCATATTCTATACATATCACTATCTACCACCAACACCACTATCATATTCTATACATATCACTATCTACCACCAACACCACTATCATATTCTATACATATCACTATCTACCACCAACACCACTATCATATTCTATACATATCACTATCTACCACCAACACCACTATCATATTCTATACATATCACTATCTACCACCAACACCACTATCATATTCTATACATATCACTATCTACCACCAACACCACTATCATATTCTATACATATCACTATCTACCACCAACACCACTATCATATTCTATACATATCACTATCTACCACCAACACCACTATCATATTCTATACATATCACTATCTACCACCAACACCACTATCATATTCTATACATATCACTATCTACCACCAACACCACTATCATATTCTATACATATCACTATCTACCACCAACACCACTATCATATTCTATACATATCACTATCTACCACCAACACCACTATCATATTCTATACATATCACTATCTACCACCAACACCACTATCATATTCTATACATATCACTATCTACCACCAACACCACTATCATATTCTATACATATCACTATCTACCACCAACACCACTATCATATTCTATACATATCACTATCTACCACCAACACCACTATCATATTCTATACATATCACTATCTACCACCAACACCACTATCATATTCTATACATATCACTATCTACCACCAACACCACTATCATATTCTATACATATCACTATCTACCACCAACACCACTATCATATTCTATACATATCACTATCTACCACCAACACCACTATCATATTCTATACATATCACTATCTACCACCAACACCACTATCATATTCTATACATGCCACTATCCTTCACCAACACCACTATCATATTATATACATGCCACTATCTACCACCAACACCACTATCATATTCTATACATGCCACTATCCTTCACCAACACCACTATCATATTATATACATGCCACTATCTTATTATATACATTAACACAAATTTCCAGCACTAACCAACATGGAGATGATATGGTGATGCCATGTAGTGGAGGTGGACATAAGTACCTACAATTGTTAATCATAGACACTGCTTTGAATAAATTAAATTTATAGTAGTGCCATTTTTTTTTTTGTAAAAGCTACAATGTTCACCATGATCAATAAGATTTCTTGTTGGCTTCTTTGAAAATGACATTATCAGTCTTGGCAAGTTCGTAGCTGATTATAATTTTTCTTTGTTACTGCTTGTTGGCAGCACTTCACTAGAATTTACACTTTGGAGCTAATAATTTTATGTTTTGTAGCAACCTTTGGGTTTGTCTTGTGTTGACATTGTCATTGATAGTTTATCTCCTTTCCCCTTCTTGATGCTTGCAATTAGCTTTTTGTCACTTAAAAGGCATTCTAAATTTAATTGTTGCATTGACCTTTCTTTTGAATGAGTTATGTTAGAATAGGAAGTAAGTTAGAATAGGAAATACGTGATTGTGTGATTGTGTTTCCTTATATTATGCCTTATGGCACTCCTGTAATTTCTCAATATTATCAATATAAAAGGGAATGAATTCATTCCCTAACTCTTTCTTTTCTCTAAACTTACATGGTATCAGAGCCTCATTAGAAGGTACCTAAAGTCAATCACAACCTCCTTCTCTTCCACCGCAGGACTACCCAGGCCACCCAAACCCTTGCCTAGGACAGTCGTTAGCCCTCTCTTGTTTGTAGAGAGCCATCGTGGTCTCCTGGTGGGTCGCCTAGGCCCTTTGGTGGCTGTCGCTTGCTCCTGGGTGTTCGACTAGGGCCATCGTGGTCTCCTGGTTAGTCGACTAGGCTTTTAGGTGACTGTCGCTTGCTCCTGGGGGTTTGACTAGGGCCATCGAGGCCTCCCCATTGGTCGCCTAGGGCCTTGGGTCCTCTCTGGGTGATCGGCTAGCCTCACGAATGGCTCTGGTCTGACCTTGGTCATTTTTGTTTTTTGTCTCGTTTGGTCTGTTTACATTTTTTTTAAAATAAAAAAAAAATAAAAAAAAAAATTCTTTTTCTTCTTTATGCTTTCATAGGAGAAGTTGTGTCTTTCCTTCCACTCATCTTCCGAGTTTGTAATTGGCATCGTGTTTGAGGTATTGTTAGTGGAGTCTTCATAGCAGATTTGATCAGTGAATCTCATACCTCTTGGCGATCTCAAAGCGAGAGTTCTATTATCCCTTCCACTATGACTGATAACCTCAACCCTGGCCTTAAAATCACTACCTCTCTATTCAACGGTCAAAATTACCTAGCGTGGTCGCAGAGTC